TATATTTTTTAATTCAATATAATCTCTCTTAACTTAAATACACTTATTCCAATGATCCTCCAATAATTTTGTGCCTATAATAACTTTCCTGAAGCTCTGCGAAATACCCGTTTACGGCTGTAATAGCTTCTTCATTTGACGAAAAACGCTTTCTACGAAGGAATTGTTTCAAGTTTCTGAAGAAGTAGTAGTCACTGAGAGCCAAATCTGGTGACTAAGGTGGATGATCAAGCAATTCGTACTTTAATTCGTTGAATTTTGTCATTTTTAAAACAAATTTGTGGGCAGGTGCATTGTTTTGATGAAAAATGATTTTTTTGTGCTGCAAACCAGGTCTTTTCTCACATATTTTTTCATCCTGCTGATTCAAAAGGGTACAATAATATTGAGAGTTGATTGTTTTACCTTTCTACTGTTGCCTTAACCTTCTTTGCTGATCGTTGTGACTTCACCTGTTTTGGAGCTGAACAACCAACTGCAGTCCACTGTTAACGTTATTGTTTCAATTATGGATCGTGGTGGTAGATCCAAGTCTCATCCATAGTTATAAAACACACGAAATATCGGTTTTATTCTACTTAAAACGCTCCAAATTATGTTGAGAAATTTGTTTTCGATCCACTTTTTGTTGAATTGTTAAAGTGTGCGGCACTAACTTTCCTAACAACCTTTTCATATATAATTCTCCCTGTAAAATATGAAGTATGCGTACGTCTGAGATGCCTATGGCATTAGCGATTTCACGCTTAGTCTAACTTGGATCTTCACTAACAATATTATGAACTTGCTCAATGATTTCTTTTGTGGTTGCAGAATTTGGTCGTCTTTCGCATGGAGCGCCTTCAAGTCTAGTACGACCGCGTTTAAATTCACCAGCCCGAAATTCAACGGTGTATTTTGAAGGTGAGGAGTCCTTACACAAGTATACTTGTACACTTCTAACAACTGTTCATAAATTTCCTGTGCTTTTTAACATTCTAAAACAAAGAATTTCATCACTGCGCGAATAAAATTTTTCTCGTATTCAAAAAATACTCTGACACGTCAACTTCAAATGGTTTGTAAACAAAGAATTTACAGAATAGCTTGAACTTTGCACCAACTTAAGAAAAATAAATTTGGAGCTTGTAGTGCTACTTCTTGGTGAGAGCTGAAATTTCACAACCAACCTGTAATATATGACCAACATAAGATCGTGCACATACACATTTACAAAACACTTTTAATTTGCGAATTTCATGTTCAACCTGCCCTCAGTTTGAACCTTTGAAGCGTCGGCATTAGCATTGCTGCCGCATACATTTGTATGTATGTTTGCATGCGTGTGTGTATGTATTTTGTTGGATTAGGTTGTTGGTTGCGAAAACGATATTGTTATTGAACAAAAAGAAATGAGCGCATAAGAAAACGGGTTCCCAAAAGATGAACGTCACCTTTAGTCGCGGCCAGTTAATGCATTACAACATTCCATACATACGAAGCTGCAACGGAACGCCCTCAAACCTGTGCCCAGCCAAAGCAAAGACAAAATGTTTCGATTAAAATAAAAACAAAAATTAATAAAACCACTAAAGAGACAAAAAGATAAATAAAATTAACAACACCCAAAAAATTGTTGCAATGTCCGCTGAAATATTCAAGATCCACAAATAAAGTAAGTGAAACTAAAACAAGACCAAATCGTATAACAACAATGCAGAAAACCGTGCGTGTCTTTTGGCTGTTATAAATACTCTGTCACATCATCAAATTGTCATCATTACCTTACCAGCAGTCAACAGCGTTTTAGTACCTCTTTAAATCGCCCTACATTTTTCTTTTTGCCAAAATGAAATTCGTCATCGTTTTCGTTGCTCTCTTCGCCGTCGCCATGGCCAACTCCGATCAAGATGCTCAAATCGTGCGTTTGGACTCGAATGTAGAGCCATTGAACTACGAATATGCGTAAGTTAAACTAAAAAAATATATTTGAAAAAAAATACAATATTATACTCTACTTTTGAAAAGAACAATAAATAATAAAACATTCGTTTTGCTTATTGCAGCCAAGAAACCAGCAACGGCATCAGATCAGAAGAATCCGGCAAAATCAAGAACTTGGGCACCGAACAGGAAGCTATCTCCGTTCAAGGTTCATACTCTTACACCGGTGATGATGGCCAAGTTTACACCGTCAACTACATCGCTGATGAGAACGGTTTCCAACCCCAAGGTGCCCATATTCCAGTTGCTTAATTTGTTTCAAAATTAACGAAAAGCTGAAACATTTGTTGCCTAGTTGTAAATAGTTGAAGAAAGAAAATATATTATAAAGAAATGTTAAGAAAACCAAAAGAAATATTTTTATTATCAACCTAGAAATCTGCGAGATAGAGCCATTGGTCGCAACATCTATTCTAGTATACCGAAAAAATAACTTAAATATGTACATACATACATATGTGGATCACAGATTCTCAAGATGCTGATCACTTTATTTAAAAGAGTTAGAAGGTCTATTATATTCAAAATAATAAATATTTCTCTTTCGAAATATTGTGAAATAACCACCTTAAGAAGCACACCTAGTGTGAGTGTCTGAAAAGAGGTATTGCTAAAAATTAAATTCAAAAAACAAAAGACTTTGAAACAAATGCTGTATTTAGCTTAAAAATGAAATAATTGGCTAACCAAAATGACATTTGCAAGAAATGAAAATCGTACAGAGAAAAATTTAAGCAGAAAAAGGCAAAGCGATCGGATGATTTGTCTTCGAGTTACTACTGCAGCCAATTTGAAAAGTGTAGTTTTGAGAAAAAAGCTAATTGAACTGAGCGTCTACCACTTTAGAAGGCTGTAACTAAAAAAATAATTGAAATATTTATGTACATTAAATAGTATAGGCTATCAACATATGTTAACAAATGTTTGCCTTTTACGAAATTTCACACTAGGTGTGCCCTTTAGTGGTCAGATGAAGCTTGCCAAACGGTGAACACATAAGGAGTACTTGAAAAGCTCAGAACACACAATACGTAATGTCTATTTCCTAAGTTTATCTATTTTTTGTTATCTAAGTTTATCAATTTTGAATAATCTCGGCCTCCGGTGATTTAGTCCTCAATTACACGAATGAAACAATTCAGAACAACTGCATCTTCAGAAGAAAACTGTTATTTTTACTAGCACTCGCAAAATCTAATATTTTGAGTTCAAATCACTGCATACATAGATTTTATAAAGTATGATCAAAATTTATAAAAGCGTAGATAAAAGCGCAGATAAATTTTTTAAACAAATTTTGTGATATTTCGGTAAAGTTGTTAGAAACAAGAATCATCGTCAGATTAGGCTCTCTGTGAATTTTTTGTGTGTTTGAAACTCAAAAATCCACTTCGAGGAACGCCCCATGAGTATATTGATCCAATATATAAAAATGGCAAGACAAACTTTTCGCGTCGTAAACCAACAGCTGTCAAACACGCACTTATCGACTTGCCAAACTTCACACGAACATAAAAAAGTCGTACCAATCAAGGAAAAAATGTTTCTTGTTTCGGTTAGCGCACGCAGTTTAAATATATGAATCAGTTTTTGTCAAATTTGATTTTGAGTATATGACTGGTTCATATTTAGACCATATGCAACTCAAAACTAAAGTCGAACCAAATACAAGTCTGCCAGGTGGCACGAGAGGAAATACTTTTTAAACCCATATTTAATTTCTAAACTAGAAAGTGTTTGATTGAGAGCAGAATCTTTAAGTACTGCAATGAGACCATGTAAAAGCATAGTGACAATATATAATATTGACACTCATCAGCTGATGTGAATAAATTAAAATAAAATAAAATAAAATGAAGAAAAATTAAATAAAATGAAATAAAATAAAATAAAAAATTAACACAAAATAAAACTAAATAAATATGTATTAAGCTATTAAAGATCTTTTAAGTTTTGTGGCTACGGTTGATTTCTCTCTCCCGAAGCTATTGTTGGTATTTCGGTCAATGCACGATTCTAAGGACGGTACAAATTATCTCGTCTTACCTTATAGTCGAGCCCGTGCAAGGGATCTGTAGCATGAGCAGAATTAAAACCAAAACTCCACATTACGCTGTTCAGACTGTTGGGATTGCAGCTCCTTTTCAGCAGTTTTATTTATAGTTCTAGCTGGAACAGTATGAGTATTAAGTTTTACACGAAGTTTGTAACACCCACAAGGAAACGTCAGAGACCATGTCATTTTGCTTGCCCGTCTTTTGTATATACGCAAACTAGTCCCATAGTTTTTGAAATCTAAAATTTGCATTCTTCTTTTCTTCTCAAGAAATTGTTCATTTGTCGGAACCGCCTCTATCGGACCACAATAGCAAATTGCTGCCTTACATTGTGAACGATCGGAATCAAGTGCTTGTATGTACAATGGATCAAAATCAAGTCATTGTAAGAAATATTTTTTATTTGTGAAGGGTATTATAGCTATGGTGCAACCCAAGTTAAGGGTTTTCTTATTTTAATATAAATTGTTTTGACACAAAACGTATGAATGTGACATAAGAGCTTAAAGCTCGTCTGCGATCCGTCGTAGTTTATTTCACAACACCACAAAATTTCAAAAGTTTCTTGAACAATTTTATAGTACGGAATTATAATTTCCTTGGAATAAAAATTGAAAATATGGCGGATATACATACGATTTACGTATCCCAATACAATATGTCATATCTGTCCGTCTATGTTATTAAATAAAATTTACTTAGCGAAACTTTTTGTGAAACTTGATTGCCTTCACCGTCGAAATTTTTTTGAAACCATGTCCTTCAACTAAAATATATCACATTCACATAAGCTAACTGACTTCGAAAAGCTATTCATTTTTGTTGCTGTAAAATTGATTTTATATCAGTTGTCGTTGCCTTTACTTTTTAATTTCGATCCATGCATTTTATCCACATCCTTTAGTTGAAATTTTAAATTTCGTTTAAACCGGAACACAATTGTATTAATACCAAGTTCAATTATTTGAAGTCATTAACATAATGTATTTATTTGCTCATGCTCGCACTTCAATGTTTTGTGTTCTTCTTGTTCACTTATGTAAATAGTATGTGTGTGTATGTAGCTTAAACCTAGTTAACACAATGAATGTAAAATCGCTGGATATGCCCGCTCGTTTGAAACTCAGTACTCGTACAGATCAGATTGGTTTTGTGATAGAAAAGGAAAGCTGACGAACAATTTCACTCGTCTTAGACACGTGGTATATGAGCGCCCTCCGGCTGGAAGCCATTTTCATCGGCTATGTAGGTAACGGTGTAGGTTTGACCATCATCGCCGACATAAGAGAAGGAACCACGTACAACGATCGCCTCATGATCAGTGCCGACATCCTTCAGCTTGCCCTCCTCCTCGTGTAATTTACCATCGCTGGTCTCAACACTGGAACCATGTTACACGCACAGTTGCAATTACCGGTACCGATATGTGGGTCAGCGGCACAACGCCAAGGAAGTAGTGTGAAGGAGAAAATGAGAAAGAACAAAAACAATATTGGGTAAGTAATTGGTTTTAATCGTGATGGAATTATGCAAGCGGCTTGACCTTGCGACCTGACGCGTACGCAAGTGAATGGCAGCCAATTTAACACGCGTTTATGTTACACATATGTACACTTTCCATTGTGTGGACGTATGTATGCCTTTACTAGACGTTCATGTTCATTAACACTTACAGAAATTTATATCCCTCGGGCTCCACATCGGAATCGTAACGTAAAACCTGTACTTCTTGCTGTGGCGCTGGCGCAGCAATGGCGGAGACAATGCAAACAGCAACAAATACAATAACAAACTTCATCTTTAATGAGGTATTACGCAATCTTCTTGGTGTAAATGGGACACGGTTTCGGCTGCTGCTTCTTGCTTCACACACAAACACACGTGTAAATTATTGGCTGAATAAGGGTTTTTTTAGTTGGCGGCGTAGCGGTTAAGCCAATGATTTTTTGTATAGTTGGGATGCTGGATGGATGGTTGGTTGCTGGTGGGACTGACCGCTCGGTAAGTTGCGACTCGTCGAAGTACTGAATAATCAATGCTTGCTACAGCCTTTTATTACAGACATTTTATACTCGTCGCATGTGCACGTTTTAAAGCCCGATGAAATACTCATAACTGTAAGTACTCCCATTCGTAATGGATGGCAACTCGATACGCTGGCAATACAGACAAAGCGTCAATAAACAAACTGACAATACTTACAGCTAATTGTGAAAATATATGCACGTACTTACATACATACAAACATACATGTAGGTACATATATATGTGTGTAGCACCCAGCGCACGCCGCTGCTTAAAGCATCGCAAAGAAGATGCAATCGTGTGTTGTTGCTGCTCTTTGAGGTGTGAGTGAATTTTGCAATTTTCAACAGTGGCGGTCGCAGCAGCAGGAACATTCACCCGAAATTATTGAAATGTAGAAAAAATGTCGAAAACTTGTTTTCCTCTTTCTTAAGAAAAAAAGAAACCCAAATTGCTGGTATAAGTGTACTAAAGCACGTTGCGGCTGCACGACACTTGGGACACGCTCTGATCGAACCTTTGCTGGCTCATATGTGTAAGAAATGGTTGGCATTTCTTTCGTCCATCAACTATTGCCTTTAATTCAAGTTTCGTATGCAAATTTTTCTCATTGCCTAAATTTTACGAGGGTCACACTTTGTATTTTACGGATGGGTAAATTTTTCGATCTTTTTTGTTTTTTGCTAGATATTTGAAAAAATATTTGCCTTCATTTGAATATATAATAGTGATAAAGACTTATATTTTATGAAACACATTTTTGCTTTCTACCTAAGGTGGTTGGTCTTGAAAATTGTGGTTTTCCCGAAGATTGGTGCAACTTGCTCGTTACATAATTTCTGTTGTTTAGAGAAAGTACTAAAATTTATTAATTTGGAAGTTAAGACGGACTATACAATATCAAGATCTGAGTATTACTAAAACTTTTTTCTTGACTTTGATGAGGCCTTTATTTTGATGTGCTTTAATAGTATAGAACTTTCATTAGGCCGCCACTTTTGAATCATCCATTATACTTGCCTTTCTTAATAGTAAGTAGGAGAATATAAATTGATTGGGTGCGATGAGAATCGTTGGACTAATTATTATAAAATATAATATTATCACTTTATATATACATATATATAACCAAGAAAGAACTTATATATCAGCGAGCACTTGTTTTGCTATTACTGAACTTGTGGAACACATTTTGATATAAGAAATGTAACAACTTTTTAATATAATTGAGTACTGTTAGGTTATAAAAATAAAAACTTTAAATACTTGGTAACTCTAGTACTTTCTACTCTTTTTATATACAGTCCCGAAAGGGATTCATCGACTTAAATAGATTTTATGAACATACGAAAAATTCTGTTCCTCATTAATAAAATAATGCTAAAATAAGCTAATAAAAAATATGAATACCATTTAGTAATACTTTTGAAAAATATTTTCAATTTAGCCGTTTTGCGTCCGAGTACAACTACACTTATCTTTTATATACAAATTTAATGTTTCAAAAAGGTAGGCGTATTTATTATTTAGGATTTATTACTTTACAAAAACTCCTAACGCATATCTGTTTACTTATACTAGTAAATTTTAGTTTCAAACGAAAATAATTAGCTTTCTGCTATGTATGGCAACTCTAACTGCACCAACACGTAAAAAAGATAATATTATCTATGTTCATCGAAATAATGATTGCCATAATCTTGTCGCTAGTATAGCCTAGCAATACCTCAACTGTGATATACTCAAATGCACCATCGAAAGTGTGATGGTCGCAACACACACACACAGCCGGCATATATACACACGAGTAGATCATCAAAATCATGTAATGCTGTTTACACACACATACGAAAGGCTTTGTCCATTTATTTGCCAGATGTCAAAAGGCCAAATTATTGTTTGCACTTGATGAGTGATTGAACGCAAACCTACACGTACATACCTAGCCATACCGAGACAAACGTTGGCAAATGCGCGTAGTGAATTTGCGTATTTGTGGCGGTCAAATAGGTTGGGCAGCAGCAGCATCATACACATCATCGCCAACCTCAATAGCAGCGGACGATCACTCAGCGAGTTGACTACTGAGCGAATTGCTCGAATATTAAGTTTTGTTTATTTTTTTGTTTAGTTTGTTTATGTCTTGGTTTACTACTTTGCAGCACTAATCTTGAGGTGTCAGTCAGTTGGTCATTCAGGCAAGCCAGACAGGCCACCGGCGATAGTCACAACAATAGCATCCCATTACATGCTAACCTACTTCTATCAAAGCAAACACCACACAGGCACATAGATCTGCGTGTATGTATGTTTGTACGTGTTTATGCATGTATGCATATATATGTATGTGTACTCGTATGTGCGTAGAAGATGAAATTTGCATGCTCAAGCTCATAATCGCAAAATTTACTTACTTACATGTAACTATTTGTTCTTTTACATTGTATGCACTTGTATGCATGTACGTATGTATGTGTCATGCTCACACCTATTGCGAATGCATTTACCATATATACTTGTTTGTACATATGTACTTGTCGATTTATAAGTGCTTGTACGTGGGCTGTTACTTTTCGGTTAAGTTTGTAATTTGCTTTGAAACATGCACATTTATACAACCATTCATAGATTTTAGCTTTGTCAAACTTTTTTACGTTAGCGGCTTCATGTTTTATGTATCATCATTCATGGAAAATGTAACTTTTTCTTTCGGTAAATTTCGTACGAATTCGTAAAATTAACGGTGCTAGTTTTAAAATGCCCCTTATATGCTTTATGAATATTAACTACAGTTATTTTATTGACGGGTTCAATAGTATCAGTTTCAGTTGACAAGTTTCTTTCGTTTTTATGATAGTTTATATATGTACATACATAGTTAGACCTAATACTTTTAGTGATATTATATTTTGAGGGAAAAATTGTATAAGAAGGAAAACCCACTATATGGTGTAGAAAAAATGTTTTCATTCCACAAACAACAAAAACGTTAACTTCAATTGATGGATGGATGGATGAAATGGATTTTGATCGGCCAGTTTATACAACAGCTATATGTTATAGTAGTCCGGTAAATTATATGGAAAACAGCGTTCGTAAATATTTTGTAATACATATGAAAGCTGTCAGCTCACAATCGACCGATTTCCGTCTTTTCATAAAACCTTGTTTTCTGATGAATAAAATTTACGCCGTATAATATTTACGTATCCGTATTTTAAGAGTACACAATAACAATTAAAATAAGAATTAAGTATTTTTCGAATTATAAGGCGATCTCCGACTGCACTAAAAACAAAGGACCTCCTCTGCTGCAGAGAATCTGGTTTTCTCCGCGGATGAAACAAGCAAAACAGAAAATTCTCTATTAAAAGATATTGTCCGTACCTACTAACCTACTGTCGAAAAACATATAAATTTTCGTTTACGACGTTTATAATAAAAAATTTGAATTTTAAGCAAAATTTTGGTCGATTTTGGTCTGCCAAATTCCGATTTTTGATTCGATCAAAAAACTCGTAAGTCTTGTTATAGAGAACTATATACAGAACATGCACAAAAAATTTGAAATCGTTCTAATCATTTCAAAGTTATCACTCGAACAAATTTGAAAAATGATGTTTCGAGAAAAATACGTTTCAAGATAAATTGATTAAGCTGATTGAAGTGAGCGTTAACAGTTTTGAAACTATTTATTTAATATAAAAAAAATATCGATTTGGTTTTGAAATTTCACACCTGAGCCTCTAAAAACTTCATTTTGAAGCTTTCAACATTTTTTTGAAACAGTTGATATAATGTTTTACTCAACTTTCAATTAAAAAAGGTCACGTTATATTGTATTTTATTCCATTGCCATTGAACGAATTTCATTAAAAATTTGCAATATCAGTGTATATATTTCCTAGCCTCCATGAACCGTATATAAAGTTTTCGTACCACTCTGATAAATAAATATTGAATAAATTGTAATTTTAATCATTATAGCGAGATTTTATTTTAAATTTATTTTATGAAGTTTTTGACGATCATGGCTGTGAGCTACAAAATTCTACATTCTACAAAAGTAAATAAACTTGCGTGAAGGCAAATTTATAAACTTGAATTTTAATATATGTTCAATGCAGTATGACGCATGCGCATAAAAGTAATGGGCGAATTAAAATTTAAATGAAGTTAATCCGCTATTACTGCGAATGACACAAACGCAAAAGAGTATAGCTAAAGTCAAAGTCTGATATGTTTGCACACAATTCAATAAAATACATTATTTCCATGCAGCGTTATTTATTAACAGTAACATCAACGACTAGACTATTCACATAATTCATGCAATACTCGTAAATTGCTTCATTTGCTTAGAAAATATTTACAATTGAACTAAAATTTAACATCACAATACACGTACAACTAAATACAACCATATTCTGCTGCCGAATCTAGTTATAGAGGTCATAAACCAAACAAATTAACACTTAAGACGCTGGCTCTGGGCCCACGGGCAGATGTGTGCCCTGTGGCTGGAAGCCATGCTCATCAGCAACATAATTAAGTGTATATTGTACACCATCCGGCCCTGTCCAGCTGACTGTGCCTTCGACCGATATGGCCCCGGCATGTTTCACGGTAGCCATTTCTTTGCGTGACACCCCATCGCTGGTCTCGAAGCTGTTGTAGGTGCGCGCGTGTGCCACGAAGAGAGTAAGAGTCAAAGCGTGCGATGTGGTGAGTTGGTGGAAATGAGTTGAAAAAGTATAAAGCATCAATATATAGTTAATCAAGCGCTTAAAATGTTATTTATCAATACATACGCAAAATTATAGCCATTGGCGCCGATATTATCATTGGAATATTTAACAATCTGCACATCGTCATCACTATGAGTTGTTGTTGTGGCGGGTGTAGAATCTGGCACAGGGCTGGCGTTAATTACGCATGAGCCAGTGCACAGCAGCGCCAACAGCATATAAAAACGCATCATTTTACGGTAAACGCGCGCCTGATAATAGTACACGACTAGCGTTAGTTGGGCTCTAGCTTTGATTTATGACTTTTAAATGAAGTTTGTCGCTTAAGTCTTTTGTCTTTTGCCTTGCTACTAGTCGGCTGCTCAACTGTTGGTTCGTCACGTCGTCTCGCCTTAACTTTTGCTCTTGTATTTTCGGCCGGTCTGTCGACCTGTCTACCAGTACTCGAAATCGGTGCAAACGTTTTTTCGGGACTGTTCAAAGTCGAAAACTGCGCAACCAAATGCGCTGCGCAATAGCTTTATATACTATTAAATGGTAATACACAAACAATGTCAGCCACATATGAAACACACACGATTCATGGAAGAAGAAAGAAGTTTTCTAACTTTTGTCCCAAAATAGCCGACAATTTGTAGACGTGTACAATAAAATACGCAAATAAGAGCATCTAATAAAAAACCAAAAACCAAAAAAGCAACAGCAATAACATGAAATCAAATAAACAGCAACAACAACAATGGCATGGCAATCTAGCTGCTAATATATTAAAATGTTAGAATAGCCGCAATTGAAATTTAGATCCAAACTAATTTAGCATCAAGTCGAGTAACGTTTGTTTTAAAGTCGATCAAAAGCAAATCACACACGATTCAACGGTTGGCTTGTTGTTGCTGTCAGCGCCGCTGTTTCTTGCCTCGCGTTGCTGCTGTGACAACAGGCGAATTTGTTGTTTGTTGTTTTGTGGTGTGTAGATTGGCTCTGCTGCGGGGTTTTTGCCGTTGTGCCGGCTGCTGTGGGAATGCGTTCAGCTCACTAAAAGCGAGGCAATAAAAAAGTCACCGATTACTAGCGCAAGTAAAACGACAAAACAAAAAGAGGAGCAACCAATGACGAAGATAAAAGTTGAAGGTAAATATTAAACGTTACTAGGCATCTAGTGTCGTTCTGATACAGCCGATACATATGTGGTCCAACGAAAATGAACGTCGAAAAAAAACTATTTTGGAAAATTTTTTATTGCTGAAGTCGTCGAATTCTCTTTACATTTTTCATTGATTTTATGATAGTGTATTACATTAGTGAGCAAAAATGTAAAAAAAATAATAATGATATTGTTAAGGCGCCTAAATGTAGGCCATATATTGTTTAGTATTTGTTAAAAAAAATGTTCAAATTTGTATTTATATTGGTACATAGAATTAAAAAAAACTAAAATTTCTTGGATTTTTCAAACTAAATATTATATCTGGACTTATGCTTTTGTCTACGCTATATAATTACGTATATATAGGTTATAAATAGTATTATGAAGTGAAATCGAAAAAGGAACAGGCACAGACGAATCATTTTCTACTAAGGCGATTAAAATTATTAGACATTTCCGACCGACAGACCGTTTCAAGAATAAACCACTGCAGTAAACTATCTCTTTTGCCAAATAAAGCAGCTGATGCAATGTTTCGAAATTTTTTTGCTTGAAAATACGACTGATTCAAATGAATGGTGAAGAAAGCGTGAAGAGTAACGCTGGAGAATAAAAAAAACACAAAATTCATTCCTGAACCGAGCGCGGTTAGTTAAAATTTAGTACATAAAATATTATCCCTTTATAATTGATTATTTTTATATTTAGTAATACTTATTGCTTTAATTACTGCCAAGCGGAGTGTGTCAAAAGTAAACTAAATTTAGTATTTCGCCAATCAATACAAACTTTCAGATAAGTATTGATATGTGCATAACACCATGATAGGTTTTCTAATATCTATTTAATTCCAAGCAAACACTTAAACATGATCACGATTTTATATGCATGCATGTGTGTGTGCTTATGTATATACAAGTAATCGAGTTTTTCACGAACACATTCATTCACTGCCGCAGCTCAATTATCTTTTACTCGCGTGCTTATGATTTCCGATTGGCATACTAACACACATTCCTCGGTCGTAATTGTTTAATGATTAATTAGAAGATGATTAGTGCGTTATTCGCGATTGATTAATTTGTTGTAAAATTCATAAGAGCGATGTGTTTATAAGTTAAATAATTTTCTGTAATTGAAATTGTAATTGATGAAAGTAGACAAGTGTTATTGATTTTAATACTTATTTATTCTCCTGCGCTTGTCCAAATTTAAAACAAAAATGTATTTAGCAAAAGTAACCAATCAGGCAACACTAGCACAAGTCATTAAAACCTGTTATAGTTTATTTTATGGTCATTGATATATGTGACTGAAGTGCTTGTCTTTGACGTCAGCGAATTTTTAAGGTTATATTGCTAATTTAACACAATTCCAAACTACCAAGCCACCAACTAACGCGAAGATGTTCGCACAAGCGTTTCCTACGTTCGATAAGCTTGCACGTAACAGTATATTAACGGTTTAGGATTTGCTTACATAAATTTGCTATGCTATATTTTTAATCAATGAGACCTCTTATGGCTTCTTAAGGTTAATAATATTATTAAAATTATATCACTTGTGACGCAAGCAGAAACAAATCAATAAATGTTAATTTAAGCAGTTTATTTTAAGTTTAGCATGGCATGAATAAACATATGTGTATGGGCATTGTTTTTAACTATAAGTATATTTAGAAGCCGACCAGGTATTAATTTGCAAGAAATAAATTGCAGTAAAAATAGTCGAGGCAAACTTAAAACGCATAGAAATTGAATTTAATATATATATATATATACAATATATAAAGAAAATTTATTGCATATTATTTAAGAATCCATTTCTAAAACCTATTTTAATAATTGTAAGGAACTAAGAACATAACATAACAAAACATCGCATTACACATATTGACATGACTTTGCATAGTACGAAAAATCTGAATATAAGGTATCATAGCAAAACACAGCATAAGTAAATTATAACACAACATCAATGACGTACGGTTAACTAGTCATAAACTGCGATGAAGCCTACTTTTAGTTGAATGGGCTCGATTAATAAACAAAAAGCATTTGAAGTGATAATAATTCACAAACCATTGTTGAGATATCGTTACAATCGCAAAAATATACTGTTTGGTGGGCTATATGGCCAGAGGGAATCATTGGTCTATATTTCTTCAATATCTTGCATTCATAAATGAAGTCGGCCATAATGTGACAGTCGATTGAGAGCACTATAGAGCCATCTTTAATGACTTTTTGGTGCCTAAATTGGAAAATGTTGATGTGAACGACTTTTGGCTCCAACAAGATGGATTTTGAAAAAATAGCTGCATAATAATATAGGTTTGTGAAGTCAAAGAATTTTGTAATGCTAGAGAATTAGCTTTTTGAACAGATCGATAGGTCGGAAAATTGTAGTAGTAAACTGGTATTATTTCTGAGTATTTTGATGTTTCACTGTATATGTTAATATTTGATAGTGTAACGTACACATCATTTCCGATTTCTATAAAAACAATTTAATTGATATTATGAGAAAACTGAAAACATATATGAAATAATGAATATAAAACCGGTATAGTAATATATCTAATAGTTGTATATACTATATTACTATAACTGTTTACCTACATACAGGTATATGCACACACATGTATTTAGCTTATATATATGTACGTAAATAAATGATTGCATACATATAAAATAATTAGTTAACTCACCTTGATGCATCTGTAATATGGCAATCAAATAATAAACAACCAAAAGTATAAACAACGCCCATAGCTGTTTAAGTTTGTGTACTGATGCTATAATGGCAGAGGGGTGATGTATACACAGAATGTTGATAATGAATAATGCAGTTTGCGGTATTTTGAAATTGCTGCGGAAGTTGATACCATATGTTTAAAGTTTATGCATATTCATATAAATAAATTTATGCAATGCGATTCACCGACACTTTAAGCTTATTTATAATCGATTTTTAAATAAATAATTTCTTGAAATGTATAAAGGATTCATTCAAACTAGAATAGCGCATGATATTAGTTTTTAAGAGAAGATGTGAATTTGTAAGTGTGAAATTATATCTTAATTATAAAACAGATTAAAAAAAAATGTCATCAAGAATGCTTTAATAATAAAAAAAAAGTTTTTTTAATTAATAAGAAAATTAAAAATGATAAATTAATTGAAACATTTAAAGACCATCACCAAAATATTTGCACGTCTATTGAAATCAAATCTCCTGCAGAGCATAACAATAAGTAATTATATCTTCGTGTGTATGTATATTCTCCAATAAAGCCGCCAGCATTTACTACCCAAAGCGTTGTTCCTATTACTGGCTGTGGCGCTGACAAGCTTAACAACGGTGGAAATGATCTCCAAGGGCCTGACAAGTGCGTTAAATACCATTTATTCAACTTTGTCGGCAAAACAGAGTTGCCAAGTGCATTAAACGAAGCATAAATTTTCTATGAATCTGATGGACTCTGCAATTTAAAGTGATTATAATATATATTATATATATATATATATATACTTACAGTTATACAAAAAATTAAAAAAAAATTTTTACGTTATTTTAACTTTTTAGTTTAAAAATTCTTATTACTTAATTACTTATTTTTATAAAAGTGTTTTTTTTTAATAAGAAAGTTTTTTTTTGTTTTTTGTTCAGTTGAACATTTTGTGTAAAAATAATAATATTTATATTTTTATATATTATTACATCAAAAAAAATTTGTTGTTTAACTCTGTTTTCCAACCGAGGAAAAAAAATTTTAATTTTTAAGTCATACGTATTGTAATGTTTCCAAAATGAGTTAATTTTTAATAAACTTCTCTTTAGTATCAGATCTATCAAGAACAAGATCTGTTTTGTTATAGACTCTTAATTATATTTTAGTTAATTTTTAAAAGTTTCACCCGCTGAACAGCAAAAAACTTTGTTAAGAAGATTGTAAGGTTCAGAAATAAATGACGGAGGCCTATAAAAAATATATATAAATGATCAACATGATGCGCAGAGTCGATTTAGCTTTGCCTGTCTTTCTGTTTGTATATACGCGAACTAGTTCTCCCAGTTTTTGAGATATCGATCTGAAATTTTCCCACGTTCTTTTCTCCCCAAAAAGCTAATGATTTGTCTGAAACGCCGATACAGCATATAGCTGTCATACAAACTGATTGATCAAAATCCAGTTCTTTTAAGGTATTGTTTTATAGTTTTGAAGGGTATTATAGATTCAGTGACCCTGAAGTTAACATTTTTTCTTGTTTTAATTTGTTTTTAAAACGTTTAAACATTGAAATTTGGGAAACACTGATCTCGATCATCATTGAAGGTGTTAATTCACTGGCCAATTTAGTACATACCTGTTTATATAAAAACTTAAGAAAATCGATATGCATTGAAATGTTTATGAAGTGTTTGCTTAAAGATAAAAACCTCGAGCTGTCGCTCGTAAATATCGACAATATTTTATTTTATTTTTTCAATTTTACTTAATTCTTTCGTTAATAATGATATCGTAGATCTCATCTTCTGTTCATTATGATTCTACTACCAAATAAAACATTTCAACTTCCATATGTCGTTTACTAAGGTCAGCAACACACTATGATCTGCATTGTAGCAGGAAAAACAAAAGCAACAACAAATTAGAGCTTACCCGAATTTTGGCTTGCGAGCAGTGCAGTAACAAATTGAGCACGTTGGCTTCTTAAACGCTATACGTTGGCGTCGTACGTTGCTTAATACACGCATTTTGCTTTTGTTGTTGCGCATATATATCACAGCTCATAGGAAAGAAGGAAGCAAATAGCTTCTTATTTGGATTGCTGCAGTACGCGTGCGAATCTTCTCTGTCATCAACAGAATTAGTGTTAATTTAAGGTGCGAGATCAAGTGTTTAATGGGTGAGATACCGAACATTTACTCGCATATGCTATATACATTTACAATAACAATTATGCAGCTTCAATGCTATTTCTTCCTAATTAATTAACTTTAAGATACTCTTGCATTGCACCTGTACTTGATTTTCGGCTAACCTTAACCTTCACTCCACATACTCTTGTATATGTGTATATTGCAGCAGTTGTTATTCAGGAACATCAATTAATGAAGGCACAGACCAAATTGTCGTGATTTTCGAGGTTAACAAAAACATCGTTAAAATTAATATCGCATGACGAAAATCTACAAAAAAGTATTTATTTAATAATTGTTGTTTGTTTCAGTGTATTCAGCAGCAACTCCCTAACTTCACGCGAAGTGGGAAATTTCATGTTAAATGGAAATATTAACATTGTAACTTTTTAACTTGTCTTTCATATATTATATATATATATGTGTGTAGCAAGTTTTTATGGGTGGCGGTTTTTGGATTAATGGGTATGTAAGACATGAAAATATACTATCTTCGGCAGCACCAAAGCTATAATAATAATTTATGATAAATTTCGTGAAGATATTTGGTTAAATTAAAAAGTTTTCCATACACGAAATTTATTTTGGCCGATCTGTTTGTATGATGGTTTTATCCTCTAGTAGTGGTGGCGATTCCGACATATAAAAAGCTATTTGAAGAGAAAAGGCCATGTGCAAAATTTCAGATCGACATCTTAAAAACTGTGAAACTAGTTCGCGTATTTACAGACAAGCGGACATTGCTAAACTGGCATGCACAAATTATTCATGAAAAACCGTTACATTCACCTAAATTGACAGTTTGGTGTAGTTTTTGGTCTGGTGGAGTCATCGGTCCATACTTCTTTCGAAATGAAGCTGGTGACACCGTTACTGTCAACGGAGAGCGATGATAACCAACTTTTTATGGCCGCAATTGGAAGAAATATATCTTGACAACATATGGTTCCAACAATCCGCACACCGCACGTGCAACAACCAAATCTTTGCGAGAAAAGTTTGGATATTCGATAATTTCAGGAAATTGTGACATTGAATGGCCTCCAAGAAGTTATGAGTGAGTAATTTAGCACCATTATACTACTTCTTGTAGGGTTATTTGAAGTTATTGATCCTAAGCGATAAACTAGACTCTCTTCAAGCTTTAGAAGTCAATATAAACGTGTTATTCATGACATACGAATTGATTTAGTGGAAAAAGTACTCGAAAATTGGCTTCATCGAAAGAAGTCGTGGAGGTCATTTCAATTATGTTATATTAATGTATCGATTTTACTTCACATCAAATAAAAAACATTTGAATGTCCTTGACAATTAGTGTGTTTGTTTTTTTTTTGAAAAACAAAAAAAGTATTTCACTTTTATTGGAAAACCCTTTTTATATTATATATACTTTATAGGATCTCCGACGTTTCCTTCTAGGTATGGCAAACTTGGTTAACTTAATATTCCCTGTTCAGAGGGTAAAAATTAATTGCCTTAAGGAGTGTAAAAAATCCTGAAGAACTCTTCGAGCTTTCATATATCCAGAATAAGTTACTAGATATTATAGAGCAAGATCTTAAATAACTTTCTTCACTTTTGATTTAAAAGGCAGATTTCTGTCAAGGGAGTATGTTCTAGAAAGTAACTTACATCCAATTTTATTAGAACAATTAACACTTTGACCGATATAACTATTAGGTTATCTAGGATAACGAAATCACTATATTTAGTATAGGGCGGCTGAGATTATTCATTGACCGATTTCTTCCATATTTAACACCAACCTGTAGTATTTATTGTACAAGTCAGATCGGTCACTTATGGTATTCATATAAGCTGAGAGCTAGAGGAAGTACGTAACCAATTATATACATTTGTAGGACCAGAACGGATTTTTTGTCTGGAGAAGATGCTAATAAAATTTCTTTGAGATGTCTCACAAAACGAGCAGTATTCAGTATTCAGATGAGAGTTGCCACGTATTAGATTCATTATTTTCGGTTTTGTATTTAATTCATATTTATCTAGTAGTTTCTGAGATAAGAAATTCTAGCTTATCTACTATAAACAAACTACAAGAACAAAACTATAATACTCTACGCAACATGTTGCAAGAGTAGTTATACTAAAGAATCTATTAATTGGTCACATGACAAAAGTAGTGAATAATTTAACCGATATGTTCTTCATATGTCGGGGATCCATACTTGATATTCTTTTCAACCATTGGTAAAATCTTTTTTATGTTCGTGAGAAGTTTGATCTCCGTATGAAAACGTTGTCTAGCGATTTTGTGTTTCCAATGGAATCACGGCTTTTGATTCGTTTAAAATGTTGCATAAGTATTTTAGTGACACAAAGCATTCAGTGAAGGTCGTAAAGTCATTGACAACTTGCCTCATGCGAGGCGTCCATCCTCATCTGTTAATGATGGTTACTCGTGTACCGAAAAATTTAAGAAACAGCGCTTGAAAATCTTCGTTTTGGTATCAGAGAGAAAGCAGAAGTTCTCAACAGTTCTTATGGATCGGCTCAACATAGCCTCTGCAATTATTATTGCATGTTATTGTAACGAGTATCTACGACATTATCTAACAATCCATTCTTACAAAAAATGCTTTAGCCGTTTTGCCAGTTGAATTGTTTTGCAGTAGAACAATAGAAAAATAGTCAAAGCAAAGAAGACAAGAAGACAAAAAGCTTGGAGTCGCTCATAAATTACACCAAAAAGTTTAACAACCATTGAAGATCAATTGTTTTCACATAAACGAACAAAAACATAGAAACTCAATTCAAGCACCTCCTCAAATATACAAATGCATGCGTGTGTGTATGTGTGGTGTAACTTTGAATGGAAGCACTTAGATGCGCTGCGGCAAAGTAACAAAAACAATAATAGCAACAACACAAGGCAAGTTGCTATAGCTCAATTGTCAAACGCTAATCAGCAGCGTGGTGAAGTTCAAAACGTCAGCGCTGTTAATGGGTTTGTGCTGTCTTGCGGTTAATGACCGCAACGGGCATATTTTGTGCACATGCACGCACATATGCAACGCACACACACACTCGCACATATATACATATATGACGATCTTCAAAACCTAGATAATCCGTTGAATTACATAATTTGCGCTTCATTATTTCGCCGTCATGTACGCATGCGCGTAGTTGCGCCGACATACATGTATGCGCCCACATGTTCGCCTAAAATGATTTGGAGGTGGTTATGTTGAATGTGTTTGGCAGTTCATTATTGCTATTTTTCGATTTTTTATTGATGGATGCTGCAATGCGCTCTCTAACAATTTGGATTTTCAGTTTTCAGTTTCATTTGAACGAAGTCTTATTGATAGCTCTGCAGTATTTACCTTCGCAAGCACTTACACACATGTATATGTGTATGTACTTGTATGCTCGTAAGCATATGTAGCATATGTTATACCTGGATGTATAAATAAAGTACACGCGGCTCATCATGCTCTTTTATCGTTTAAGTGCTATTGTTGTTGACGCAATTATTATTAGTTTACTTGTGTTAATTTATTTGCCTACAAGCGTAATGCACAGCGCATTCATAGATAAGTATGTGTGTATGCAGGTGAGAGTACAAGTGCGTATAACCATGCTCATTATGGTACTTTATTGGATTTTCTGTAAGACATACGTATAAATAGCGACCGACATTGGTAATTACACTGCATTAGTTAGCAAACGTAATTGGGATAACGACAAGCACGGCAGCAACAGCTGGAGTTCAAGAAATATTTAAAAAAATAAAATCTCAGAAAGTAAAATATACAAAATCTCTAATAAAAATGAAGTTTACATTGAGCATCCTGGCACTCTGTGGATTAATTGCGTTCGCCTGTGCTGCGCCCCTCGATGACTCAGCTACCGCCCAGATTCTACGCTACGATAACGAGAACGTTGCGGACGGTTATAAATTCGGGTGAGTTCGTAAAAAGAAGTGAAATTAAAAATGTTTTGTTTGCTTGGAAAGTTCTGATGATAATACAAGTAGAAGAATTCAAGCAAATTCATTTTGTTCTTTTTATTAATTAAAAAAAAAATTTCGAAATTTTAAGGGAAATTTTAATATATCAATTTATCAAAATGACGGTTCTTTTCCATAAAATCAAGTATTTTTTTTAAGACTGAAAATATTTCGTACTTAGCCTACATTTTATAAATAACTAGGAAAATAAAATTTTTGGTTATCTATAATTTCAAGACCTTTTCCAAAAATTTCGAAAATAGAATAAATTATAAATTTTATTAGTTCTTAGTTAATAGTGAAACGTCAAAAATTGTTTGCTCTTGCAAAAAAATCTTTTCGACTTTTTAAACTTAGAAACAGTTTTTATTTTATTTTCCTGTTTTTGTTTTCATTTCAAGAGCATAATAAATCGATCAGATGCAGTATAATTTTTATCGACGGTTGTTTCTTTTCAGAAAATTGATTACTTTTTCATATTGAAAATTGATTGGAAAAAAGCTATGAACATTCTTAAAAATATTTTCAGTTATTATAACTGTCTAAAATATTTTTATTAAAATTATGATCACTTTCACAGCTATCAGCTTTAGCTTAAAGAAGCTTAGAAAATTTGTTTGGAAATAATTCTTCGAATAACCGATTTCAAATCAAATTATTTATTTCAAATTTTTTTTTTTAATTTGTTCAGTGCTCAACATTAATATTATTTTATGAGATTATTAACCTTTTTCTTTTTGATAACTGAATATAATAATGTGCTCCTGGTGATAAAATAGTTTATTCCTTTTTACGTCTTCTTTTCATAGTCATTACTAGTGTACTACTTAGTCGTCAAGCTAAGATTTCAAATAACTACATACTTATATACTAATAATAAAATAACGTAAAATTGCTGGGGACATTTTGTTTTGCTAAAAATGTATGAAATTTCCTATAAATTTCAATTATTTTATTAAGTTCTTATATTTGCAATTTTCTTTCACGAAACTATAGGCTCAGAAACATATGTTTGCAATTGAACATAAATTTGTAAACAAACTTAACTCTTCCCCTATTTTCATACCTTGTTTATATTATATTAAAATTAGTTTGTTCTTAATTTTTGATTCTATATATTTGATTAAAATTATTTCTATGCACAATATATTATCAAAAAAAATATATAAATTCTAATTTACCTACTTACAGCTATGAGACCAGTGATGGTGTGTCGCGCCAGGAGGAGGCTGAATTGAAGAACGCCGGCACCGAACAGGAGGCCATTTCCGTACGCGGCTCGGTCAGTTGGGTGGCACCAGACGGTCAGACATACACATTGAACTATATTGCCGATGAGAATGGTTTCCAACCACAAGGCGAACATTTGCCGCATGTTTAATGTGTAGAGGAGATACTTTGAAATTAATCGTTTTTATATGCATGTAGTTATAGTGTAAAAATATAAAAATATGAATTGTTTTATAAGTAAGAAACAGTATTAAATTGGCTTATAACAATTCTGTAATATTTTGGTTTTGTTTTATTATTTAGTGTATATGTTGAATGATGTCTCTGTGAAAGTGAGAAACAATTTGAATATTTCGAAGCTATGGTTAAAATACTAATATCTAAATTAAAAAAAAAAATTGCGGTTTAAATCAAAAAGCATACAAGATTTACGCAGACAGTTACCATGTCCTAAGGACTCATTACTAATAGAGTTAGTTTAAAATCTCGATAATTTCGCTGTTTCTGGTAAGGTGAACTATACATCATCATATGAACTATACATACACAATCAATCAATATTTTCATATTTTCAATGATTGTATGTTAAGGAGATTTATTGAAATTTCAATTACTCGTATTCACGGACATTTAAATTGTACGTCATCCAAACAAGCACACAAAACTCGGCATTGGGCGTAATTTTATCCCAAATTTAAGACAGGTTTTGCTCGAAATAATTTTTTTCAAAAAGTATGTCATAATTTCTCAAGTTCTACTTAACCGACTTGATACAAATGTGTGGTGATAATTTACAAGTCATTCTGTCAATTAATTCTATGTTTACAAGCCATTTGATTAATATGGAATAAATTTTATTCGCGCAGTGATGAAATTCTTTGTTTTGAAAGGATGCACAATTGTTAAAAGTGTATAAGTAGTCCTCACCTTCAAAATGACCCGTTGAATTTCGGGCAGGTGAATTTAAACGCGGTCGTACTAGGCTTGAAGGCTATTCAAGCGAGGGACGACCAAAAACCGCAACCACACCAGAAATAATTGAGCAAGCTCATAATATTGTTAGTTAAGATCCAAGTTATACTAAGCATGAAATTGCAAATGTCATAGGCATCTCAGACGAACGAGTACTTCATATTTTACATGGAGCGTTACATATGTAAAAGCTATTTGGAAAGTTAGTGCCGCACACGTTAACAATTCAACAAAAACTGGATAGAAAATAAATTTCTCAACATATTTTGGAGCGTTTTAGGCAGAATAAACCCGATTTCTTACATTGCTAACTATGCATGAGACTTGAATCTAGCACCATGATCGTAAATTGAAACAAGAACGTTTACAGTGGACTGAAGTTGGGTGTTCAGCTCCAAAGCAGGTGAAGTGACAACGACCAGAAAAAATGTTAAGGCTACAATTTTTTGGGATGCAAAAGGAATTTGTTGATTGATTATTTGCAGAAAGGTAAAACAATCAACTCTTAATATTATTGCAGCCTTTCGGATCAGCAGGATGAAAAAATTCGTGAGAAAAGACCTGGTTTGCAGCACAAAAGAATCATTTTCCATCAAGACAATGCACAAAGGTGTTTTAATAATAACAAAATTTATGGAATTAACGTACGAATTGCTTGAGCACCCACCGTATTCACCAGATTTGGCCCCCAGCGAGTAGTAGTATTCAGAAACCTGAAATAATTCTTTCGTGGAAAGCGTTTTTCGACGAATGAAGAAGCTATTACAGCAGACCGGTATTTTGCAGAGCTTCCGGAAAGTTTATATACGGATGGCATAAAATTATTGGAGGATAATTGAAATAAGTGTATTGAAGTAAAAGGATATTATACTGAATAAAAATATATATTTCGTACCACCACAGTATTTTTTTATTTCGAGCGCAAAAACTTTTCAACCAACCGTATGTATGCATACTTAGTCTTGCCATAAATTCTGTTACAAAGTTTACAGCGAAGGCAAATTCGCGGAAATAATGCCATTATTTTTTATTATAATCTGTATGCAGTGCCTACTCATGTGATCACTACTTAGTTCAGTATTTGCTTTCGCTAAGTGTCAAGAGAAATGGATATATCAATCAGACATATTCAAGTTGATCTCGAAGTTTTTAATAAGCAAAACAACCAAATCTACGCAAAAACTTTTAAATATGCAGATATTTGGCCATCTGGGCGTCCAGATTTGAATCCATTGGACTAAAGTTTGTATTAGAATTGAAATATATGGTCTGTCGAATACCCCACAGGAATTTGAAGAATCTCAAAAAGGATTCGTTCGAGCAGAATAAGTATGTTGTTAAAAATTTATAGTAGAAATTTGTTTTTTTTTTATCTTTAGAAGCCGAAAATCACCTCAAAACCTTGACTCTAGACCACAATATCTCCTTAAAATTAATTTCTATAAATTTCTATTTTATTGTTAACAGCTTCGACTGGTCGTTTGACTTCTGCTATAATATTGAACTTTACCTCTGTCTAGAAGGATCTTCTTTTAATAAAATATAAAATATCTTAGGGTGAAATAAGTTTTGAATTCTAATATCTTTTAGTCATTTGTATATTGCTTTTGTGCTGTTCCCAAACATTAGACGTTCATATGTTACACTCTGGCTATAATTGTTTTCCTTTCTTGCTTTCGGTTATTTTCTCTGTAAATTTCAAGACTAACTGACTTGCTTGCTTTAAGCTTCTCTAGGTACAAAATTTGGTAGTCATTTCAGCAGATGTTTGTAGAGTGCCAATAGAAAATATTATTGTCGATGGTAATGAACTGAGCAGACGTACTGTACTGCACCGACACTATGAGTATGAGTAACATATTATTGTCAATGTATCAATTTTGTTATTTATGCATTATTATTTCTATCATTTATATTAATTCATTGGCAATGTCTCAAGCGATTAAATAAGAAATTCCGGTTCACTTATTTTGACCATTTCTACAAATTTATTAAGAAGTCATGCCAAAAAAAGACACTTTCGACCGCGCCAAATATATAAAAACTGCATGCAATAATTCTTGCACACACATATATGTATGTATGTGTATATATTGGTTTTGTGTTTGTTCTTATTTCACTCGTAGAGCTTTTAATTGCTGGCATCATCATCTATCAATATCAGATTTTTGAGCTAAAATACTAATTAATATATGGTATTGTATTATAAACAAATGCTTTACTAAAGCATTAATTAATTTTTGACATGGGTATGTTGAACAGAAGCCGGACAAAGAAATTTCGGAGACGCCAACACTAAGATGCATGTCAAGTGTAGAAATGCTTCATCTAAAGTACAGGGAAAATACACACATGATGCATAGATCTTTTGAAAATAAAAATCGAAAAAATGTTAAAAAAATGTGATGCAAACAAATAACTCACTGCGACCACAGATGTAGAAAAAATTTAAAAAAGCTGTGTTAATGTGTAATTAAAAGAGTTTTTGACAATTGGTAAATGGTAAATGGTGAGGCAGGAGTGGCGGCGCAAAGTTTCGCTTTGTGAATTAACAACCGGCCTGTCCATCGGCTCAACAAGCTATGCACATACATACAAAGACGTAAAGTGTGTGTGTACAAGTGGATTTTTTTGCGATGAGGACATTTTAAATATGTTTGTTTCATTTTTTACACAACCTACGATTGGTGAGTGTACGAGAAAAATATAAAAAATAAGTTAATAATAATAAAATGAAATAATCGTCGTAAAATAAGTGTAGCGCATCTTCTTCTTTAGCTTTTCAGTTGCTATAAAAGGCTTTGCGTGGATTTGTGCAATATCAGTACAGTGAGTGCTTACACAGTGCAACCTACCAATTACCAAGGATTAAATCAATATCGCCAGCTTTTACAAGAATTACACAGAATCACTTAACTATATATCAAAATGAAATATCAAGTTGTTTTGTTGTTTGCTTGCTTTGCCGCTGTCTGCTTTGCTGCGCCACGTCCTGATGAAGCTGACGAGAAAGCAGAGACACTGCGTCTGGAAGCCGAGAATAATGGTGTTGATAAATACTCCTTTTCGTAAGTGTAACTGGATTATATTTAAAAGTATGTAAAGGTGTAATATTATATTTACAAAATTACTTACTTTTTCAGCTACGATACCAGCAACGGTATTTCACGCACCGAAGAGGGCGAACTTAAGACCATAGAGGATAGTGCCGCCATCGTTGTTCACGGTTCTACCTCTTGGACTGCCCCAGATGGCAAGAAATTCGAACTCGTTTTCACAGCCGATGAGCTCGGCTATCATCCCTCAATTAAACTAGTCAGTTAAATAATAATTACGTGTTACTTAGCTTTACTGTGCAAATTCTCCGCCAGGAATTGTGTTTAAATTGTACTTAGTAAATATCCTCGAATATGAAGAAATATTAAATTGCATGCATATATATGAAAATAAAAATATGAGTGTTTTATTCATTATGAATTAGTAGCTGTAGAAATATGTTGCTCTGAGCTTTACCTACATCAACAAATGCTCTGGAATTTATTCTCGATATCTTACTATCTTTTACTAAATCTCAATGCGTGAGGTTATGCCAGAAGGACTCGACTTTCAGTGAGAAACTCAGTAAATATCATCTGGATACCTAGTTGTCTAGGAATAAATGAAAACGAAAGACCAGATGAGTTGGCCCGCTCGGAGGCAGCCAGGAACACAATTCCCTTAAGCTGTCCTAGACCATTCAGCTCCTTTAAACGTTGCTTGAAGCTATGGATCCTAGAGGAACACCTTAGGTCTTAGTACACTAGCAAGACGTATGCCTCACAACGGAAGATGATGAGACCCTGAAACATTATCTTTTGCGTATGACCAGCCTTTTGCCGGATATGACGGGATATCTTCCATGGTTCCTAATGCTCTAACTTAAAAGACATTAAGCAGATGAGATGAATAAAAGCTGGGTTTTTACCAAATCGACTGAGTTGCTGGATAAGGTTTTATTTGGTTACTACCCGGGAGCAATGGATCAAATTATGACCTAAGTGTGCCCGGCTGCGGTCTGGCGCTCCTGCGTCTACCTTTTCATCCAACCAATCAATCAATAAATATTTCTCATAAATTTCGTACACTGACCAATATTTACTATATTTTCGGTAAAATCAGTATACAGAGCCTAGCAAAAGATATATATTTATATATATAGGTAAAAAGTAGTGGCGCAAAAAAATTTCACTCCATATACTAAAACTATAGGATGATATGGTCCCATTTCATTTTACCAAACTTGCTTGTGATATAATATTTTT